CAACAAAACAACAACAAAAACAAAACAAAACAACAACAAAAAAAACAACAAAAAACAAAACAAAACAACAAAAAACAAGCAAAAAAAGTAAAAAACAAAACAAAAACAAAACAAACAAATACAAAACAACAACAACAACAACAAAACAACAAAAAAAAAGCATATCTCACATGTTCTGTTAGTACAACAAACCTCATTTCAGTACTGAAATATTTACTGTCTCCATCAGTTATTAGACATATCAAACACCCAAATATTTAGAAATAAAAATTGTTGAGATTAATAGCGCTGCCCAAACCTTTTCATATGACTGTACAATACTTGACAAAATGATGGAATCACTGGCCTCAGAGGATGTTCATTCAGTTTAATTTGGTAGAAAAAAAGCAGATCACAGACACACAAAACTAAAGTTATTTCAAATGGAAACGTTCTGACTTTAAGAAACACTAAAAGAAATCAAGAAAAAGGTGATTCCATCAGTTTTTCAGGGGTTCTAGAACCGTTCTGTTACCAACTCTACACCACCTGTAAAGACTTAAGCGTAAAAATTCAATAAAGTGAGTGATGAGTTCTTAAATGAAGAAATGTAGTTTATCTGTAGTAAACTCACAAGATGTTTAAACGGATATGAACTATTTTTCAGTCCTAAAATCTCAAACATGGAGCTGAGATATGGTCATGGGTGTGCTGGTTTCTCTATTCTCTTCARTCGTCTTCATTGCTGGGTTCTGTTTGAAACGAAGGTAAAGCTCAGCTCGTCACCGTTAATGAAGATGATGTAATTCCAAATCTATCCTAGATGTGAGCTACGCCTRTGATTGTTTCCCCATGAGGAACACAGTGTGGCATTTTAAGAAACAAAAACACCAACAGCTGATTACAAAGCTGAGCTGAACCAAAAGTAACAAGTAACTAAAAGCTTCCTAGAAATGTAGTGGAGTCAAAAGTACAATATTTCTCTTTGAAATGATGTGGAGTGAAAGCCATAAGTACCCCAAAAATAATTACTCAATAAAGATACTCAAAAAATGTACTTAATTACAGTACTCAAGTAAACGTACTACACTACTGTCCACCACTGGACAGGATCAGTAAATATGAGTCTGATTAGAAAGGGTCAGTAACAGTTATGACCCTTTACGTTCTCGCTCCACCTGTTACAGGTGTGTAGACACAAACCTACGAGCTCCGCCCCCCCAGCTTAAAGAGCAGGAAACCCCCCTCCATCACCAACACCAGCCCAGTGCCTCTCACCATGGACAGCTCCACAGGAGGAGGAGAGTGGTTCTGGAGCCCAGGCTCTGTACTCACACCACCTGAACTTTTCCACATTTTGTCACGTTACAAACACAAACAAACACATACAAACACAAACAAATACATACAAACACAAACAAATACATACAAACACAAACAAATACATACAAACACAAACAAATACATTTCATTGGAATTTAATCTGAAAGACCAACACAAAGTGGTACACAATAGTGAAGTGGGAAGAAAATTCTAAAGGATTCAAAACATTTTTTTTAGAAATAAAAAGTGAAAAATGATATGTGCAAAAGTTTTCAGCCCTGTTTTCTCTGAGTGTAACAGTTGTATTAAGTTGCCTGGTGACTGTTAACGAGTCCACCTGTGTGTAATCTAATCTCAGGACAAATACAGCTGCTCTGATGCCTCAGAGGGAGCAAACAGCACCAGGAAGTCCAAAGAACACAGCAGGAAGGTCAGTTATAAGGTTGTGGAGAAGTTTATAGCAGGCTTAGACTATAACAGGTAAAATATATGTCTTGAACTTATGTAGTGCTTTRTMCATTTACACACATTCACACACTGATAACAAATATACTGATATCAAAAGATTTGCCAAGGTTTGAACATCTCACAGAGCACCAGTCAACCCACAAAGTAGAAAAGGAAAGAGTGTGGCTCAGCTGGAAACCTACTGAGACAAAGACTGTCCACTCACGTACACAGCACTGATGGGCTGCTGTTTGTAAAGTTACACAGTCAGAAATTACCACAATATTTGTGTTTTATTTAACCTTTAAAAAGAACAGATTTATTTTTCAAAGTCAGTTTTTCACCATATGATTCATACATTTATAAATAAACTAAATATTTAAATCACAAATTAAATAT